TCGTCGTCGGCACCGGCATGGGTCGCCGTCGGCACCGGCATCGTCTCCGAGTCGTCGTCGTCGTCGACACTGGCATGGCCCTCATCGTTATTGGCATCGTCGCCGTTGGCATCGCATCGGCATCGGCATCACGGCGCATTGCCGTTGTCGGCACCGGCATGGTCGCCGTCTGCACCGGCATGGTCCCGTCGGCACCGGCAATGGTCGCCGTCGGCACCAGCATTGTCTCCGTCGTCGTCGTCGTCGTCGGCACCGGCATAGTCGCCGTCGGCACCGGCATTGTCTCCGTCGTCGTCGTCGTGGTCGCCACCGGCATCGTCGCCGTCGTCAAGATGGTTTTTCATAACGTTTTTCAGACAAAAAAAATAATATAAATCGTTCTAATGTGTTATAACAAAAATATGTTTTTATAAACTTACAGTAGTTCGGGACCTCTTCTCTCGTCAAAGCGTTGAAGACGAACTGAAACTGATCATCACAATCGCACGCACACACACACGCGCATCGTTTTTTATTCGCACAGGATTCGCGAATCGTTCGGCGAGATCAGAAAAACGCGGCAAAAAAACACTTCAACGTAATCCATACGTAAACATACATAATATCTGACATATTATTAAAAAAAACAAAGAATATATATATATATATATATATTATATATATTGTTTTTCATATATCATATCATATATAGTATATATTGATATAAATAAGTAAATCAATTTTATAAACTCACCCACTATTGCGTAACCATAAATCATGTCTCGCACCCGTTTGTAATGGAAATCGAAATAAACGTTTTCCATCTTTGGTCCTAATATTTGTGCAATTTAAATACACACATTTATCGTAAAACCGGTGTGTTACTCGACATTGTAAAATAAAATAATAATTAGCACCAACACCAAAAAAAAAAAAGAAAATTAAAAATGCGAAATTAAAGAAACAGGACACGAACAAAGAAACAACGAACACTAAATAATCTTAATTAAAAAACTAATTATATTAAATTAATATGAAAGAAACAAATATACTAAACACCGCGTACAACAACACGTAAAATTTATTTATTTCAAGGAAAACAGCGAAAAAAAGCGATCTCTATCGTATTATAACTCTGAGCGTATATGCGATGCAATCTGTGGCACAGCGAGTGGACTGATTGTCGTATACAGATTGCAAGAAACATTTGAACTAAAAAAAATTTAATATCTAAATTATGTGTGTGGGCGTTTGCATTAATAATTAAATTCCTTGCAGAATTAAAAATAATTTTTTTTGTTCCATTACAAAAAAAATTATCAAATAATGATATATTGATTATTCTTACACATAATAACTTATTTGAAAAAAGTGAAAAAAAAAATCTGAAAAAGGCAGGGGTTTGAACTTGAAATGTCCACGATTTCAGCTCGTCATCTTAGTCGCTCGGCTACGCATGCTACTTGACGTTCTTTTATACCGGCATGATACATTAGGCATGGAAACTTTAAATAATTGTACATTATTGCACGTTGACATTGCACTTCATATTAATAGAAGCGGCGATAAATATTAAATATAATATAATATATATTAAAAATTACATTCCAAAATCCAAGTGGTCGAACAATTAATCGTTCTTTTTATTTTAATTAAAATAAGATTTATATATTTCATTACACATATATATATATATTATTTTAATAATTATATTTTAGTTTTTATACAAATTATATAAATATATATATATATATATATATATATAAAGAGAAAAGATCGCACATATACAGAATGAATACGTGATACTGAGTTAACACGAAAATTATGGGCGTAGCACGGACTCGCACCAAATACAACTTTATCGACCTTGCCAGAAAATGGGTGTGCAGTTAGTTCCGATATTGAAAACGGTGCGAGGGGCGCTTCAAGCAGTCCGTAAAAACGGTAACAGCCAAAACGCCGGCGCTGGCCGCTCTCATCTTTCTCTCTGGCGACACATGCTGTGTGCCGGTTTTGTATGCAGGTTATATAGCCTTGAATTGCGCGGTACTAATATTAGTTTTGATGAAAATATTTCATTATTTTTGGTATTTTTAGCTTTTTACTTTAGCCAAACTATGTTTTCTTTACTCAAATTGAAACATACTAAAACATTAATAGTTGTGAAATCTACTAGTCTAATTAAAAAGAAAAAAGATTATTTGATAAAATTAGACAATGGAAACGATGGGTTGGAATATTTCTTTGTAAATCGGGTAAGTAAAATAAACTGATTGTGACCTAAAAAATTAAATGTTTCTTTCCGTTCTCGAGATATTATGTTTTAAAGTCTTCCAAGACACTTGCATAATGGCAGCTTTCAGGACAATAGTGATTTCCAGGACTGCCCTGGAATAATTCTATGTATAATGGTGTATTCCAGGATTTGAAAAATAAAATATTATTTAAAATTTTTGGATGTTTAGAACATTATAATAAATATAAATAATAATAAAAAATACAAGAAATTGCAATCATATCCAATTGGTTCAAATGAAAAAATATTTAACAAATGTTACGGAAAAAATGCAATTAATTTTAGTTATTTTCAGATGAAAGACACACTCTTATAGAAATAAAAAGAACATAGATACCAACTCACCAAAAATTCTAATAAAGGATGTTAACAAAGGGTCAAGTGACCAATGTGAAAATAATGAAACTACTGGTAATTTTTATATACTGATTTTTTTTATAATTATAATTATTGCCTATTATACTGCATAAATTATATGTGAAAGATCAAATTCTTTAATATTGTTACTTTTAGTATTTAAATACTGAAGTTTCAATATTCTAGCACTGTGCTGTAAGAGAATCTTTGTCGAAAGTATATATCTTAAAATATATCTTATCAGACCTCTATTCTAATATTAAGTAAATCAAATGATACAATAATTTAAGCATTTAATAGAATCTTAATTTAATTTTAATAAAATAAATTTAATTTTAAATAATAAAAATGTATTGCGTGTGAAGAAACATAGAAATGATACTAACGCTATACTAATTATAAGTAATTTCTATACTAATAATTTGTAACAATCTTCAGAATTGCTTCACAAAGTAAATTTAAGAATGCACAGTTTAACATTGTAGATGCAGTTGGTTCACTGATGCAATTTAGAAGAGCAGTGAAAGATATAATAAATTGGATATATGTATCATTAACAAATTATGAAGTATGTAATAAGATAACATAAAGTAAAGTAATTTAATTTATTTCAATAAAAATATATTTAAAAAATGTGTATTATGTTATAATATTATTAAAAAATTGTTATAAATAATGAACTGCTATTCTACCCAGATAGCACAATAGTTTGCAAAGAGTTCAAAAGAGTTCGCAAAGAATTTATTGAAGCTTCACTAAATTCTTTGCGAACTCTTTTGAACTCTGCGAACTATTGTGATATCTGGGTAGCATTACGCAGTAATGAAATCTTTGTCGAAAGCAATTTTTAATGGACACAAACAACAATAAAAGCCATACGTGTAAATTATATTATTAAGAGTAATATTTACAAAGATGTTTTTGAATTATTTGCAGGTAATGAGCCAATTAATATAACAAATAATGACAAATGTGCTTCCAATGCAGACACAATAAATCAATTTCATATTCAACATGAGGAATCAAATACTATAGTAAACTCATATTTAGATTTGGATGTGAAGTCCGATTTTCACAATGATAAATTACAGAGCAATGTTATAACTAATGAAAATTTACAAAGTCATACATTAGATAAAACTAAATCTTCTAAAACCTATCCTCGAATTATAGAAGACAAGAAATGCAAAATAAATATGACTATTTTATCAAAAAGTAGTGACACAACAGCAAATAGTTCATGTAATACATCTATTCTGGGGAATTTGGAACTTTCTGATGTAAATCTTTCTGATGTAAATGTTTCTGATATGAATGGAATAGACATAAATAATTTTGAAAATTGTGGTACAAATTTAAATAATAATAATGGAGAAGAAATGATTCACGAAGTACTAGCTGAAAATAAATCCACGTTTACATCTATCACTGAAAATACTGAACTGGACAGCACTATAGTACCATTTTGTGATTTAAACGGAGTTAAGAATTCTTCTATAAACAACGATATAAATAACAATGACAATAAATTATATTGCAGTAACTCACAAATTGAAAATGTCTCGCAAAATACAGGTATGTATATTTTTATTAATTTGTTCCTTTAAAAAGTATTTAATTATGTTCGCAATATTGGTTTCGCTAAAGACAGTATATTTACAGTATATTTAAAAAGAACAATATTATAAAAGTTAAATTTAGATTTGTTATTAAGCTTAAATAAAATATTTAATAATTTTTATCCATCAAATTATTACGTAGGGTAATATAAACTAATACTAATTTAATAACTAAAAATATAATATAAACTAATTTTTAATTTTTTTTCTTCGCTCACAATAATAAAAAAGTAACAGTTTACGTAGTTAAGCGTCGTTTACAATGAGATTTTAAAACGTAAGACGTAAGAAATTGAACAATCACAGACAAGATTAGAGAAGAATAATCTCTCTTCGACTGTATTAGTCAATTTCTTAAGTCTTACGTCTAAAAATCTCATTGTAGACGACGCGTTACATATCGTTTATAAATTCTTTTGAATTAAGCTAACTTAATGTAAATAATGTGGTATACTTTTTAAATATAATTTAACTTTAATTTGTTATTTTTAAAAATTAAATTCATTAAGTATTAACTTATTAAATTGTCAATAAATAAAATTTATTAATTTTACTCAATTATTTTCTTTACTTAGCATTTCTATAATTTGATAGAATAATTTGATAAAAATAAAGCATAATATTTTTAACATTCATATATTTTTAAAATAAAATCTTTTAAAATGTTTATTATTTCAGATTTTGAGAAAAATAAAATTTCTAATGTAAGCGATAAAGATTCAGATTATGAACCATCTATTCAGAGTTCAAATGATACTGATATTGAACATACTGATATTGAAATAAATGATGATTTAGAAATTGCAAATAATGAATCTAGCATATTAGCAAATTCTTCAGAAAATGCAAACGAAAAAAATATGTTAGAAAAAGAAATAGAAACATGCAAAGATGATGAATTATTTGTAGAATTGTCTCAAGGGCCCAAAGGAGATAAAAAATATAATTTTTGCTTTTACTGCAATACTATGCAAAGTAAAATTGCTCGGCACCTAGAATTAAAACATAAAAATGAAGAAGAAGTAAAAATGTTTTTATTACTTCCAAAAAAATCTAGAGAGCGAAGAGATGCAATTAGTCAAATAAGAAAAAGAGGCAATTTTAAATATAATACACAGGCAGATTTAAATAACGGTTCCATGATTGTTGTAAGAAGACCTACTAAAGAAGAGAAGCAATGTGGTTCTTATTTTTTACCATGTTCTAAGTGTAGAGGACATTATGCAATACATAATCTCAGGCATCATTATCGCATTTGTGCTAAGAAGAAAGATACAACTCGAAATGTATTAAAATTAGCACGAAGCGCTGCACAATCTGTTCATAATCGTGCAAGCCATAAATTAAGAAAGGACATTCTTCCTGTCATGCGAAATGACAATATTTATAAATTAATAAAGTACGATTTATTAATTATACTATACGGAAATTACCTCTGTCAAATTCATAGATTGCAGCATTTAGGAGACCACATACGACAACAATTACGACTTCTTGGACGATATTTAGAAGTATTAAAATCAATAGAACCGGCAATACAAGAATTACAAATGCTATTTGACCCGAAATATTATGATATTGCTATAAAAGCAGTAAATATAATTGCTAAATATAATGAAGACACAGAATCATATGATATACCATATAATGCTACAGCTATGGGCACATGTTTAAAAAAATTATGTAAGATCTTAATCAACGAATTTATTAAACAACATGAATACGAAAAACAAAAATCAGCAAAAAATTTTCTAAAGATTTTAGAAGTCGAATATGGTAGTACCGTTAATAAAACAGTTACAGAAATACAGACTAGAAACAGTCGAAAGAAAAAAGTTAATCTTCCGAAAACATCAGATATCAAAAAGTTAACCAATTATTTAGAAGAAATAAGAGTATCTAGCATGCGAGAAATAAAAATAAATTCACGTTTTGTGCTTGGAAATCACTTGCTGAAGCAATATTAATAATGATTCAAATTTTCAATCGGCGACGTGCAGGAGAGATAGAAAGAGCTTACATTGTTGATTACAAAAATTTCATAAAAATTACAAAAGAGAATGAATTATATAAAAGGTTACCACAAAAAGAAAAAATATCTGCTTTAAAGTACATTCGTTTCACAATTCGTGGCAAGCTAAATCGGAACGTCCCAGTCCTTTTGAATGCTAAAATGAAAGAGGCTTTAGACATAATTTTAAGATATCGGAAATTGGCAGGAGTAAGTTCAAAAAATCCATATATATTTGGATTGCCAGGTGCAGATAAAAAACGATTTAGATATTTAAGAGCGAGTAAATTGATGCGTGAATTTGCTAATCTATGTGGAGCAGAGAACAAAGAAAGCTTACGTGGGACTATTTTACGGAAAGACATGGCAACAAAATGTTCACACTTACCAGATAGTGAAATTTCTCTCATTGCTGATTTTATGGGTCACCATAAGGATATACATAAAAATATTTACAGACAGCCTGTAGTAGAATCTGATATTTTAAATATGGCCAAAATTTTAGAGAAAACTCAAGATATATCTACACATAACACTGATATTGACACTACTAATAATACAAATACTAATACTACTAATTCAAACAGTACAACAGATGCTAATACTTCAGAGAATAGTATTAACGAAATTCAAAGCTTAGGTATTTTAAAAGTTCTTCAATTCTTTTATAATTTTAGAGAATACTTTTATAATATTATACTTATTGTTAGTAATTGTATTAGATTGTATCATATGGAATTGCTGATATTTGATAATTGGATTATTTCGTTCGATTTAAAAAGCTCGAATAAAAAAAGAAATATACAATTTAATATTAAGTAGACAGAAAAATATTATTGCTAATAATGTATATTTTGAGTGTATAAAATCTATTTCCTTAAAAGTACAACATTTTTATTTTGACACAAAAACGACAATTTCATATGATAATCTATCATATATATATAAATGAAAAAAGAAAATTTGTATTATATATTTTTTTACATAAAGTTTATTTTTAACAATATAGTTGAAGACGAAGCATCAGAGAATAATTTGCCAAAGAAAATTTTGCTAAAACAAAAAAATGTAAAAAAACGCGCCATAGAAAATATAAATAATTCAGATGAAGAATGTGCGCCAAAAAAGAAACGATTCAGTAAGTCAAATAATATTACAATTATACATGTATATAAAATCATTAAAGAAATGCATACCTTTTTCTTAATATTAAAATTACTTTTCTTAATTTGTGACGATATATTTATAGATTTAATTATAATTTATGTTTAGCACCTCCTTACGGAAAGACCAGAAGAATACGTTGGACTTCTGAAGAAAAGCAAACAGCTTTATTACTCTTCGAAACGAATATTAATAATTCTACTTTACCTTCGTTAAAGGAAATAATATCCAAAACGCGCAAAAACATTTTGAAAAATCGACAGCCAGCAGCAATAAAAACTTGGATACACAATCAATTTCGCAATAAAATATAAATGTCATTAAATAAAAGAAAATTAAAAGTCTTTAAGTCTTAATAAACATAAATAACTTAACATAATAAAAATAATTGTGTACAATAAATAAATATAATTACAGAATTATATTTATTTACACAATTATTTTTATTATGTTAAGCTACTTTATGTTCATTAAGACTTAAAAACTTTTAATTTTCTTTTATACTTTATCACTTATACTGATATTACATCTAAATAATCTGTTTCTATGTTTTTTAGTATCGCTTTTTAGTATTTATTCAGTTTTGTTTATTTATATATAAATGTAATATCAGTATAACAGTAATAAACCCAATAAACACTGTTCTGTAACTTTTACAGATCATATACAAAACGGTTGTTCCCTGTTTTGGTAACCGTTATGTCAACTATTAAGTAACGTTTAGATGGAAATGTCAGCAACATTATGCCTGTATATGATATGTAATAGATACATAAAATTTAAACGTAATAGATACGTAAAATTTAGACATAAAATTACGTAACTATTACAGAACCTATCAAATATTATTTGTAACATTTACATAACATTTACAGAACATTTACAGAACCGATATTCTCTGTTCTGGTAACCATTATGTAACTTATAGGTAATGTTTAGGTCAAATGTTACGTATTGTATACAGCAACATTATGTTGTATGTAATATGTAACAAAATAACGTAACAAATACATAAAATTTAGGTATAAAATTATGTAACTATAACAGAACCTATTAAATATTATTTGTAACATTTACAGAACAGATATCCTCTGTTCTGGTAACCATTATGTAATTTATAGGTAATGTTTAGGTCAAATTATCACGTATTATATACAGCAACATTATGTTATATATATGTAACAAAATGACGTAACAAATAACTAATATTTAAACATAAAATTACAAAACTATAACAGAACAATCTTTCTTCAGTCTAATCATCGATAAATGTATATATTATAATATATATATATATGCATCAATGATTAAAATAAAGAGACTATTCTGCTATAGTTATATAATTATTTATTTAAATTTTAAATATTTGTTACGTCATTTTGTTACATATTATATACAGGATAATGTTGCTATATAATACGTAATTTTGCCTTAAACATACATATCATATCTATATCAGTAATCTTTTTAAGAATCAATAGTTTCATCAACTTTTAGTAAATAAAAATTAATTTTAACAGCGTAAAATTATTGATTGGATGAAATTATTAATGAGCTGTTTTTAATTGATTAAATTAAAAGAATTATATATATATATATATATATATATATATAATCTATATTATTAAGATATTTTTTAAAAATCGTGTATATATATATAAATATAACAATATAATATTGGTTTTTTTAACAATTCTTTATTTTTATAAATTGTTAAAAAATGAATTTTTCAACAAACATTACTAATTAACATTTATAAAACTGTTTTTTTTCAATTCGCAATCATAATGATAAATTATAATATAATTTAAATTATATTACAGATTCTTTTTAACAGAAAACTTTTAATATATATTTATAGCTGTAAATAATAAACAACTGCTAAATAACTGATAATAATAAACAAGCAGAAAATTGCGCTTATATTTTAATACACTTCGCAACAAAATTAGGGTCACAAAATTAGAAAGAATCAAATTCAAATTCATGTATGTTTACAAAAAATGATCGTAGAGCAGTATATCAAAAAGCATTTTCAAGTATGAGACTCCAACTTTCTAATGCTCTAATGGAGATTTCCCTACAAAGATTTACTAAAAGATTTATTGCAAACGGCGCTATTCTACAATGAAAGCCTTACAAAATTGTAGAAAAAACTTTAACTTTGGCGTGCACGAGGAGAAAAAGAATTCATTTTCTATCAATTTTATTAATTGTATTAAAATATAGCATTTCCCTTTCAAAATGCGTTTTTAAATATTACATTATGTGGATTGTGTTTCTCTGAGTTATGATATTTTGAAATGAATAGGCATTTTCAGGCTTATTTTCTAAAAAAAACCCTCGTATTTGTTGTCGATATTGGTATTACCCACAGGAAGATTACAAGGTTGGACTTACACTTCGTGTGTGTATGTGTGTGCAAGTGTGTGTGTGTGTGTGTGTGAGATGTATGTGTGTGGGGGGAAGGGTACGTGTGAATAAGTGTGGGATATGTGTGCGTGTATGGAATGTGTGAGTGTGTGTGGAGTGTGTAGAGTATGGGTGTGTAAGGTGTGTGTGGGGTACGTGTGAGCATGTGTGAGCTGTGTGAGCGTGTATGGGTGTGTGTGTGTGGGATGTGTGTATGGGTGTGTGTGTGTGTGTGTGTGTGTGTGTGTGTGGAGTGTGTGGGGGAGAAGGGTATATGTGAGCATGTGTGGGATGTGTGTGTGTATGGAATGTGTGAGTATGTGTGGAGTGTGTGTAGAGTATGGGTGTGTGTAAGCGTGTGTGGGGTACGTGTGAGCATGTGTGCGATGTGTGTGAACGTGTATGGGTGTGTGCGGGGTGTATATATGTGTGAAAAGTATGTGTACATAAGGAGGTGTATGTGTGAGAAGTGTGTGTGGGGGGGGGGCATGTGTGTGTGTGTGTGTGTGTATGAGTGCGTATAGGGTATGTGTGATGTGCATGGTGTGTGCGGAGGTGTGTAATGTATAAGTGTGGATGTATAAATGTGTAGTATATATATATATATATATAATTTATATGTGGGGGGAGGTGTTTTTAAGAATGTGTGTAAGTATGTATATAATGTGTGTCTGTCATACACATCCCACACACACATACTGACCTCATTCATATATATTCCATACACACTCACACATATCCGATACACACTTCACACACATACATTCCATACACACTCATACTTCATACACACTCACTCCATACACTCACACACATCCCATACACACATACTGATCTCATTTATACCCATTCCATACACACTCACTTTATACACTCACACATTCCACACACATACTGATCTCATTCATACACATTCCATACATACTCACACATATCTGATACACACTCCATACACAGTCACACTTCATATACACACTCACACACACCCCACACATGCACACACCATCACACTCATACATACCCCATACATACCTTATTCATATATACACATTCCACACACACACTCACACATACACATACACTCGCGCGCACCCTATACAAACACACATATCCTATACACATTCCACATACTCACACACACTCCACACACATTCACACACTTCATACACGCTCACACACATCCCACACATACTCACTCATACCCTTTCCACACACACACACACATCTTACACACATACACACACACACACACACATGTACACACACAAAGTGTAAGTCCAACCTTGTAACTTTCCTGTGGGTATTACCAATACCGACAACAAATATGAAGTTTTTTAAAAAGGCCTGAAAATGCTGTTTATTTCAAAACATCAAAACACAATTCGTAACGCAATGTTTATAAAAATGCATTTAAAAAAAAAATACTATATTTTAATACCATTAATAAAGTTGATAAAAAATTTGTTCTTTCCGTAATCGCCTATCAATGTTAAAGTTTTTTTTCTACAATTATATAAGGCTTATTTTAAAGTAGTTTATAGTAAAATCTGTGTAAAGAAATTCCGTTAAAAAATCTCCATTGAAAACTTTGAGTTTTCTAGTTTTAAAATGCTTTTAAATATCAGACTATGATAATTTTCTAATTTTGTTGCGAAGTGTAGTATTACACTTGTAATAATCGTTAATAACATAAATTAATTAAATTTAAATAAAAACATAAATTTATAATAATAATTATTATAAAATTAACTCTTACGATACACACGAGTATTCGCGACTTCATTTTTTGGTTTTAACACTATATATACATTAGTATAAAGTAAATTTTCTATAGACTTTTCATATAAAAACTATATAATTCTCACATCAATAAACTTTTCATCAATACACTCATCCAAATTATACTTTTGAGATTCATGTGTAATTCATTAATAATTTGTCGAAAATACATGAGTGTGTATCGTTAGAGTTTAATTTAAACAAAAATATATTAAATTTAATTTAAACAAAAATGTAAACATAATTCAAATTGCATGGAGAAAATACGGTTATACTTTTTGTAATTCAAAAAAAATTGAAACAAAATTGTTATTCAAAAGTATCAATAAATGATGCTTACTAAGTCTGCTAATTCTCTTAAAAGAAATATTTAATTCAAGTAATGACGTTATATATATATATATATAAGAACTCATAATGAAAAGAAACAGTGCAGACTATATGAATTTAGAACACAAAAATCTAAAAACTTAAGTATTAATTATTCAATAAAAAAAATTAGGAAAAGAAAAATATTTTTGTTATATTAATAGACTCTAGCCACTATAGAAAAAAATTATAATGAAAATAAATCATAAGCATCTGAAACATTTAAATGACTTGCGGATTTATTTCTTCGAAATCTTTTTGTCTGCTAAGCCTCTGACCACCTTGGCGAAACCATTCTTTTGTGACCTCTTCAAATTCTTTGTTTGTGAATTGATGTTGACCGGAAATTGTTGCTGAAATATTACAATACATTAAATTAAATTTTATTTTATAAACTTGTTTATAAAAATAAATATAAAAATATATTTTACCTAGTATTCCCATTAATATATACTTTAAGCTACTAATTTTAAAATGATTTCGCAATCCTTTCCAAGATGATTCTTTGGCAACTTCATTGGAAAATAAAGTTCGGTATATGCGAATTAAATTTTCCTTGGCGGACCTTCCGCCTATGCGAGATATATACAGCATCTTTAGAAATAAAACATACCGATAATACAGTTTCTATTGTTCTATTTAGATGAAATTTGCATTTAAATAAGCTAAATTAAACTTACAAATTTGTTGTACTCATCTACATTTTCTGATAAACGGTTTTCAAAAGCTGTTACTTCATTTATATTTTTAAATGGAAAAAATTGATGTATATTTGATGTATCCGTGACAGATGCTTTGGATTTATGTTGATTATTTTGTTTTTCTATATTTGTTAAATGAACATTTAGATCTTGTATTCCTAATGTAACTGTAGTTATAGCTGTATATATATTTTTAAAATGACCTGAAAAATTAATAGTATTGAATAAACAGTGCCAAAAATAGATATAAAGTATATTATAAGACAATAAGATTATAAGACAAAAATAAATACAATACCTTCCATTTTTTCGAATCCATCTGATATTAACGTATGTACATCCTGTATACCTAAAAATTAACATTAAAGAAATATTAGATTATTCACATAATAAACAATAATAACTGTAATAACTGTAATGAAAAAAACTTATATTATGAAAATAATATAAGTAAATTGAATTAAAGAATTTTAAAATAAAAATTACTTTTAAGTGGTACTAAAGTTCCATCAAGAATCTCCAGGTCAATATCATTGCTGACAACTGATGAATTAATAACAGTTGCGATAGATTGACTTTTGTTAACTGATTGCGAGGCATTTGTATTTACAGTAAGATTTGGTGGATTTGGTATAACTAAACGTGAGTCATCAGAATCAGATTCAGACTCATTGTGAGAAACAGTTTTATTCAACTGTCTTGTGCGTGACTTCTTTATTTCATTTATATTGCTTTCCTCACTTGAAGAATAGTTCGTTGCTCTCTGTCTAGCTTCCTCTAATGAATCTAAATTGAGACAAAATCGTATTTAGAAATTACATTATTTTTTAAAAATATTAAAAAAACAATTACATAAATTCTAAAATAAAATATAACTTACCATAATATCCATGAAATTTAATGGGATAAGATTCCCATTTAGGATCATTAATAACAGGTGGAATTTGTTTTATAATAAAGGTATTTACATTTTTTACCAATGGCCACCAGCATTCTTTTAAATTGAAAGAAAGCCATAAAGATGGAACTTCTGATACAATTTCTTCTTCATTATTTCCATCGCTTGGAAAAGTAACGACAGCGAAATTTTTCGCCATTATTAATAATCTGTTAAAAAAGTAAAATTTGTTAAGTAATTTAATATTTAATATTGTTTTCAATTATAGATTATATCAATATATAAGTACTCGCCATTAACATATTTCTTGTTGGTGTAGTAAAGGCAATACTACAGCTTCTTCGTCACATAAAGGCAATTTTACGCATTTTAATTTAATATCAAACAATGGAATAGTAATTAACTCATATTGTAACTCGTTAATTTGTTTAATACCGATATTGAAAGAGTCGCATGGAATGTGGAAAAATGATTTAATATTCAAATACTTTTTAGCAGTAACATAAATCTGTTTATTTTTAAAATAAATTTTCGTAAGCGAAACCGTTGTACCATCTAATAAAGAACAACAATTATCAGCAGTTCTTGTACTAAGATAGAAACCCTTGCATTGAACCGATTTTATTATCTTTCTGCCATTTATAATACGTACTTTTGATATTGGATAAATCTTTTCTACATTTGTTATATCCAAATTATCTTCTTCTATACAACGATTGGCTAATTGTTCTAATGGTTGACTTGAAGATCTTATCTTTGATTTAATTTTTTGCATGTAATTTTCGAACTTAAACGCGCTAAATTCATCTAACACTCCCCATAATTTTACATAATAACACAGATGAATTAAATTATGAACGTTATATGATATATATTGACAACCATATAATGTGCCATAATTTTCAACAAAATACAATAGTAAATTGTGTGCATAATCAAGCAGTTGTACGCAATATTTTTTGCTACATAAAATTCGAATTGCTATACTTAGACTCAAAAAATGAACATATTTATCGCGTGGTAATTTTTTCAAAAAAATTACTGGCCCAGTATATAATAATAATTGTCTTAATTCGGTGGCTTTAAAGCGATCGACCTCATCTAATTTCCTTGGTTTTCTAGCAAATTCTTTGGGTAAGAATGATGACATAGATAATAAAGAAGTTGAAGCAAGAGTTATCTGAGTTGCAACCATACGAACATTATGTTTGCCTTTAATCCAAAACTGCAATAATCTTTTCATTATTCCTAATAGTACGAGATGCATGTAGTCTAAAGGAAATTGAGTAACCATTCCAATGTTTAAGTCTTCAAGATTTGAAGTCATTTTATGGTGTTCTTCTTGTTGTTTTAATTTAAATGATTCATCTGACCTTAATATTGCATTAATTTCTGGGTACGTTACTCGATTTTCTACGTAATCTCCCTCTTGAATACAATTACCGCATCCAAAATACGCATTATGTCCTCTAGTTCCCTTGATAAATGATTTTGCAGGAGCATCGCAGATAAATGCATTCAATTTTACAGTTATTTTTTTGCCATACTGTACAATACCAGTTCGAAAAATTTCAAGACAATCATCCTTGAAATATTTCAGAAAAGTATTGCAACATTTTGGCTTTTGAAAACCATGATAAACACCAATTATAAACGGTTCAGTGTAAAAATCTGCAACTATACTACCTAAAATAGGCCAAAATTGACTGCCAGAAGATTTTGTTAAAGGAAGACCATCTATATTCACATTAATATTTATTTGAGATGGTAAATTACTTTGACAATAATGCTTACGAATAGATTTTCTTAAACTATCACTTAAACCTGCATGATAATATTTGCCTGGTGTCATTTCAATAATGTCTACTTGCTTGGGAGTTTGGAACAGAGTTCGAGCATCAAGAGGAAGATTATGGCCATATTTTACTAGAATTTTCAGTAAACTACTAGTAGCAGAATGACTGACATGATTTTCAATAGCCCATAATCGGATGTCGTTAATAATATCTGTTTTATTAGAAAATTCATCACTTGAAATACTTGAATGAGAACTATTATTATCAGTACCAATTCTCAAATGTTTGAAAATTAAATCATCTTCATTTTCAGTAATCTTGTGAGTATGCATTACATTGGAATAATTAAAATTAATTTCCTTTAGTACATTTTGTTGTTGAGGTAATTGTTCGATATTTTCTGGTCCATTTGATCCACTTATATTATTTTGAACTTCCAAATTTGATTCAATATTCATTTGGCAAATATTATTGAATTTTTTTAAAAAAATACGTCGCCGCTGCCTTGGCGTTAAAGAAGTAATGTCTAGTCGTAATTTTGACTTGGACATGATATAATCTTATAAAGAAACAGAAAAGCTAAATTGCGATTATATGTACGAAGATAGATTATTGGATATGCCTTATACGTCGCCTTTATTGCTTATGTTATATTCTCCTTTATCAGTGAGATTGTATATAGGAAGCTTATCTGGACAATAAAAATATTTTGATAAATAAAAAATATTTTTAAAGTGGACTTTTGCAGGTTTTCTTTCATACAAACTAATCCAATAATAAAAATATAATTTACGTAATATTTAACGGATACTAATAGAAAATAGAAAAAAATGTAATTCACATTCCTTAAGTATTTCATTTATATCAAAAAATTTAATGCTAACAATAGTGAAATAATCTAGAAATCTGATATAATACTCTAATAATCTAAAATAATATTTTAAATACATTTTTCATTTCGGTAAAAATTTTTTATATACAATCATATATATAAATTGATTATATATATAATTGTATAAAACTAAAAACTACATATGAAATCTGTCCATATATTAGATTTAATTATATCCCATATAACATAAAAAGATTGCAGACATAATTAAAATGTTAGTGACGCAATTTACATATTGTAAAATGATCTTATATAAAATTATAGATTATATATCATATATAAGACTATATTATGTAAATTGCATCACTGTAACATTTTAATTATGTCTGCAATCTTTCTGTGTTATATGGAATTATATATTTAATTATATGTAATTATATATGGACAGATTTCATATATAGTATTTTACAGGGTTGGAAAAGTTACTTTGTAAAAATAACTAGTTACAGTTACAGTTATCTTATTAAAACAGTAACTAGTTACAGTTACAAGTTATCAATTTTAAAAAATAACTCGTTACAGTTACAGTTAATTAAAAAGTAACGAGTCGTTACTTTTCAATTACTTTTTAAAAATAATTATACATTATTTTAAATATAAGGAGCTTACATATTATGCACAACTACAGTCAAGTATTTAAAAAAATTCTTGAATGTAATATTGATCGATTTGCTTGCGACTTTGCGATTACCATCAATGTATGAATGACCTTTATATACAACAGTAAAAATAGTTATATATGGTAACTTACTAAATTGTAATCGCAAAGTCGCAAGCAAATCGATTAATTATTACATTTAAGAATTTTTTTAAATACTTGACTGTGATTGGTCGATTGTAATTATGTGTTGTATTATTTTATGTACACAAAATAAAAATTTTAGGTAAAAAATTAAATTATATATGAAGATCTATATATATATATATATATATATATATATATGCTACTGTTATTAAAATTTAATTTAACAATATAACGGCTACCATACTTAAACGATATTTTTAGCGAATGTTTCCAAAAAAAGTAATTAATAAAGTAACTGTTAAAATAGTTACTAGTTACTAAAAAAATGTAACTAAGTTACAGTTACAGTTACAGATGGAGAAAAGTAACGAAGTTAAGTTACAGTTACCGAAAAAAAGTAACTGTAACTGTAACTTCGTTACAAGTAACTCGTTACTTCCCAACCCTGGTATTTTATAATTATATATACACATTTACATATACATATACAGGGTAGGCCATTTTAATCTTTCCACTAAAATTTCTCAAAATCCAAAAATTTAAGACAAAAATGTTTCAGATAAAAGTTGTATGGTTTCAAGGGGGACATGAGATGGTGTCATTGATTTGACCTTGAATAGCCATTTGAAGGTTACGTGAAAGTCAACTTCAATTTCTTAAATGGAACACTATATTTTTTCTTGCATACTTTTGTAGCTGACTTCGAGATCTTTCCAAAACACTACAATAAAATATTTTTTCATGAAGTATTTTTCGAGTTATTAAGGCTGCAAATTTGCAGTATTTTGACATAAAATACAAAATATCTTGGGAAATATTCATTTTTCGATTATCATACCTTAATACTTTTATGCACAGAATAATGAGATAAATCAGTTGATGTAAAGAAAACACATAGTTACCTTTAAAAAAAAATATGAAAATTGCAATAAGCAGTTAGATAATTTTTCTTTAAGACAACTATGTGTTTTCTTTACACCAATTGATTCGTCTCATTATTCTGTGCATAAAAGTATTAAGGTATGATAATCGAAAAATGAATATTTCCCAAGATATTTTGTATTTTATGTCAAAATACTGCAACTTTGCAGCCTTAATAACTCGAAAAATACTTCATGAAAAAATATTTTATTGTAGTGTTTTGGAAAGATCTCGAAGTCAGCTACAAAAGTATGCAAGAAAAAATATAGTGTTCCATTTAAGAAATTGAAGTTGACCTTTACGTAACCTTCAAATGGCTATTCAAGGTCAAATCAATGACACCATCTCATGTCCCCCTTGAAACCATACAACTTTTATCTGAAACATTTTTGTCTTAAATTTTTGGATTTTGAGAAATTTTAGTGGAAAGATTAAAATGGCCTACCCTGTATATACATCAGTGATGAGTAAGATACATTTAAAATGTATCTCGATATAGATACAGATACGTGTAAAAAAATATATCTAGATACAGATACAGATACACAAATCAAAATGTATATTGATACAGATACTCAGATACTTTAAAAGTATCCGATACATATCAGATACTTTTAAATTATATTTTATCATAATAATGGTAATATGCATAAAATGTACTGTATAATTATTTGATTTTTATTAATATTTTTGTTTATATTGCGACTTTTTATTCGTTAGAATTAACACGTGAAAAATGCAACAAAGATATCATCACTCAAACTATTTCGCCATGGTACTAAAAGACCAATATATTTATACTGGAAATGTTTAAGCCTCTGATAATTCAAAAAGGCAATGCAAATAAGATTACTGTTTTTCTCATTATATGCTCGTGCAAAAAATGATGCGAAAGATATGGGAAATATGAGGTTAAAATAAAATGAATCGTACTCACCAAATATGAAAATTATGAAGTGGTAAAATGAGGTGTGTTCACCAAATATCTGTATTTATATGCAGTCGTGTGTTACGTAAGACCTTGTGTGCACGCCGTTGTATATCCTTATCACGAGCAATGATACTGTATATATGGAAAACTTATCTGTAAAATAAAAGATATTTTGATAAATAAGATATTTTTAACAAGTGAGACATGTACAGTTTTTTTTTCAATCTAAATAAATCCATTGATTAAAACAAATAAAATATAATTTGAATATTTAAAAAAACATTAATAGAAAATATTGGTCTATAATTTTTTTATAATGATTGTAATGGTAATTTCAATGATAAATAATATCAAATAGCTAATTTTGTTGACCAGGAAACCATTGCATTAGAAAAACTGTAGATATAATATTTTTTCCAAATATTTCACATATGTTAAAAATTTATTATTGAATTTTCTTATAGTATAGCTCAATTGCAAATAAAAGAAAATCTTTATAATTAATAAATATTTTCTACACATGAGTCTTAATTTTTTAATTTAGTGTTATTTGATTTGAATTAATTTTGTGCGAACCAAATTTTATTCAAGTAAAATATTGAAATAAATATGATAGCTTTAACTATTGTAATTCATTGTATAATGAAGATGTAGATCTTGAAAAAGTGTTAATATTATATGCAGTATAAGCATACTACATATAATATTAACACTTTTTCAAGATCTACAACTTCATTATACAATAAATTTCAATAGTTAAAGCTATCATGTTTATTTCAATATTTTACTTGAATAAAATTTGGTTCGCACAAAATTAATTCAAATCAAATGACACTAAATTAAAAAATTAAGACTCATGTGTAGAAAATATTTATTAATCATAAAGATTTTCTTTGATTTGTAATTGAGCTATACTATGAGAAAATTCAATAATAAATTGTATAACATATGTGAAATATTCCAAAAAAATATATGTATATATCTACAGTTTTTTCTAATGCAAATAATTACTTGCTCAACAATATTAGCTATTTAATCATTAATATCATTTTTCATTAGATTAATTACCATTACGATAAATATTTTCTACACATGAGTCTTAATTTTTTAATTTAGTGTTATTTGATTTGAATTAATTTTGTGCGCACCAAATTTTATTCAAGTAAAATATTGAAATAAACATGATAGCTTTAACTATTGTAATTCATTGTATAATGAAGATGTAGATCTTGAAAAAGTGTTAATATTATATGCAGTATAAGCATACTACATATAATATTAACACTTTTTCAAGATCTACAACTTCATTATACAATAAATTTCAATAGTTAAAGCTATCATGTTTATTTCAATATTTTACTTGAATAAAATTTGGTTCGCACAAAATTAATTCAAATCAAATGACACTAAATTAAAAAATTAAGACTCATGTGTAGAAAATATTTATTAATCATAAAGATTTTCTTTGATTTGTAATTGAGCTATACTATGAGAAAATTCAATAATAAATTGTATAACATATGTGAAATATTCCAAAAAAATATATGTATATATCTACAGTTTTTTCTAATGCAAATAATTACTTGCTCAACAATATTAGCTATTTAATCATTAATATCATTTTTCATTAGATTAATTACCATTATGATATCATTATAAGAAAAATGGTAGACCGTCATTTAGTTTTAGTGCAATGCAAAATATAATAAAAAAATCTATAATTATTATGAGGTAATAAAATCCGATCTTTACACTCGAAATATTTAACCTTCTAATGATTGGAAAAAGCAGTGCGAATAATATGTTATTTTTCTCATTATACATATATGCTCGTGCAAGAAATCATGCGAAAAGATGGGAAATATGATATTGAATAAAATGAATTGTACTCACTACAAACATAAGAAGAATGAGGCACGAGGTGTATATCTTATGTCGCCGGTGCCGGTATGTCCTTTGTTATAGCCACGCAGCTTTCACGTGATTCTTCCGTGGTGTGTCTGGTTTCTATACAGAAATTCAGTCTTTAGAATTAATATTTTAACATAACGCAATCATTATCAGTTATTAGTATTTAATATGTTAAATTATTTCTTATCTTATACTTACCAAAATCTTTACACTGTTCTTACTTTCGAGACGACATTCAAGCATGTATGACTACCGTATTCGTACATGCTGCCATATTGAAAGTAAAGCGCGAACTGCGCGGGACACTTTTTGCGATTGCGCACTTGCACACACTTAAGCCAATCATGGCAAACTTAATCAGAAGGCCGAGTTCACATAAACTTATAAAGACGCATAATGCAGATAAAATCTAATTTGCTAATTACGCGTTTTAAAAAACAAAGAACATAAATAATTTCAAAAAAATACATTTATGTAATAATTACATAATGTTTTATATGTATATATTACAGATCATCAAAACGAAACTATGACGTTTCGTTTATGTCAATAACGTAATAAAGCTATAATTGTTACATAGAATTGTTATGTAATTTTGACGTTATTTTGGTATGTAACATTTATGTATTTTGGTGGATATAAATGTGTATACTCGAAATGTTTCGAAAATACTACGTAATTTAATGATATAATTGCAACGTTATGTTAAATTCGTCATGTTTACGTATATATATTGGTGAATGTAAATGTGTATCTTCTAAAAACTTAATAAATACTATACGTAACTCTAATGACATAATTGTAACGTTATTTTAAATAAGTAATAACATTATTTTGTTGACACCAATGCGTATACATATCTGTAAAAACCGTGTAATTGTTGCAATATAATAACAAAATTATGATATCACATTAAATATAAAAATAAATATGTAACTTTGTTGATGTCTGAGCGTTCGAAATAAAATATCATTGAAAAAACGTATCTATATAGAATACATTTTTGAACATTTTCTTGATGTGTATTAATTACTTCCGACATTTATAATTTTATATTAACATTATTAAGTACTTTATAAAAAAATGAACTCGAAATATTTGATTATGTATATACACATATATATAATAATTATATTAAATTCCATTTTTTTACAAAGTATTTAATGACGTTAATAAATAATATTGAAAGTAATTATACATATATTAAGAAAATATTCAAAGATGTATTGCCAGATACTTTTTTCATTGATATATGCATGCCCTTTTTTCAGAACGCTCAAAGATGTCAACAAAGTTACATACATTTTTATATTTAATGTGATATCGCAAATTTCGTTATGTATAACGGTTATAAAGTTTTTACTGAATATATACATTAATGTCGATAAAAAAATGTCAATGTTACATATTTAAACTAATGTTACAATTATGTCGTTACAGTTGTATAGCATTTATAAAATTTTTAGAGATATACATTTACATTCACCAAAATACATGAATTACGTATTTAGCATAACGTTACAATTACGTAATTAGAGTTATGTCGTATTTATAAAGTTTTTAGAGTATACACATTTACATTCACCAAAATACATAAATGTTATGTATTTAACATAACGTTACAATTATGTCATTAAAATTACGTAGTATATACAAAAATTTTAGAGTATGTGCATTTACATTTATCAAAATACATAAATATTACGTATTTAATATAACATTACAATTATGTCATTAAAATTACGTAGCATTTACGAAAATTTTAGAGTATGCACATTTACATTTATCAAACTACATAAATATTACGTATTTAACATAACGTTACTATTACGTAATTAGAGTTATGTTGTATTTATGAAACTTTTAGAGTATACACATTTACATTCACCAAAATACATAAATGTTACGTATTTAACATAACGTTACAATTATATCATTAAAATTACGTAGCATTTACGAAAATTTTAGAGTATGCACATTTACATTCACAAAGAAACATAAATGTTACGTATTTAACATAACGTTACAATTATGTCATTAAAATTACGTAGCATTTACGAAACTTTTAGAGAATGCACATTTACATTCACCAAAATACATAAATGTTACGTATTTAACATAACGTTACAATTATATCATTAAAATTACGTAGCATTTACGAAAATTTTAGAGTATGCACATTTACATTCACAAAGAAACTTAAATGTTACGTATTTAACATAACGTTACAATTATGTCATCAAAATTACGTAGCATTTACGAAACTTTTAGAGAATGCATATTTACATTCACCAAATTTCATAAATGTTACATAACAAAGTAACGTTAAAATTATATAACAATTCTATGTAACAATTATAGATTCATTACGTTATTGACATAAACGATACGTCACAGTTTCGTTATGATGATCTGTAATATATACATATAAAACATTATGTAATTATTACGTAAATGATCCCTGAGTGTTTACTGGGAAGTGTATGAATAGTCATAAACGTGATAAAGTGTAAAAGAATTATTTTTATTTACATATTTATTTTTATTATAGTAAGGCACTTTGTGTTTATTAAAACTTAGAGACTTTAAATTTCTTTTATTTTTAATTATTTTTATTGCGTTAAGCCACTTTGTATTCATTAAAACTTAGGGACATTTAACTTTCTTCTATTTTGTATTATTTTTATTGCGTTAAGAAACTTTGTGTTCAATAAAACTGATTGTTAGAGTCTTTAAATTTTCTTTTATTTTTAATTATTTTTATTGCGTTAAGCCATTTTGTGTTCATTAAAACTTAGAGATCTTTAATCTTCATTTACGTAATTATATTTATATTTTATAATATTACTTTTTAGGAACTCTTTTATATCTTAGCGCACAGCTTAATTACATACATTTGTAATTACATTAAATATTTTGAAATGAGGTAAATGTTAAAGTAACTATTCTTTCCGTATAAGTAACTATATTTTTAAAAATAATTTTCTTTTATACTAAGACAATGTACTGCAAAACATTATATATTTATATGTAGCTTTAATTTTTTATGTAATATTTGTAATTCATATAAAGATATATACTTTTTCGCCCGCAGACCGCGATATCGAATATCTTTTTAATTCGATTTATATTTTTTTAATTTGTAAGTTCTGTGATTTTTTTAATTTGTAGGTTCTGCGAATATTTGTTTCTGAATTAAAACAGGATAATTATATAAATAGTATAATATAATAATTAATAAAGAATAAATTTTATGATGCACGTTTAATCATGTGTTTCATTAATTTTCTTGAGATTAAAAAAAATACATTTTCTTAGAAACAAAATTTTTTTACTTATAAATTAAAGTGTATTCATTAAAAATTTGTCTTAAATATACTTAGACGAAAATTAAGTTTCTGCTAATATACAATGTTCTCCTTTGTATTGATTATTGTCTATTGACTTTAAACAATCATTAGTCGTAAGCGCAAATATAAATAATTTTATTCTCTTATAATTATTAATAAAAAAAAATTTTTTTTAAATCATTAACAAAAAATTTAGAATAAATGTACTCGAAGGTACGTTGTTTCTCGGATGTTTAATGTCATATTATTTACAATTTGTTTTTGTCCTGGAAATGATCGCTAGGCCACAAAATGGGATATTTTTTCAATTAATAGGCATACAACGAAGCGAAAATAATATTATACATATACAAATATTACTTATAGCTATTCTTTCCATGCTTCGTTGCCTGAGATGCGTGTATCGTGTTATAGTGGGCTAATTTTCACGTCGTGTGCCGATATTCATATTGATAAGAATTACAAATATTGTTATTAAGAATTATTCAGGTTTATTGAAGAAAGTTAACTGTTGTTGTCAGATCACGTTTTCAAAAGTTATACGTCCAATGAATTAAATCTAAAAAAGTAAATATTATTTTCTGGCCTAATGTTCGTTTCAAGAGCATAATAGATTATTATCTATTATAACAAATAATGTGATATTAAATATATATAGTATAATATATATAATATATAATATATAGTATAACAAATAATGTGATATTAAATAATGATATTAAATAATTTGCCTCGAAATATAAATTATCCTGTAAGTATTGCCTCACAATGAGATGATCTTGCTTATTATTCTGTATAACGGGTTGCAAGTCAAAAGATATTTATTGTTTTCTGGAAAATTTAAATAAAAAAAATCATATTATGTAAAAACCCATTAATATACTTATATATTACAGGATAAATGTATTCCAAAGCAAATTATTTATTCAAGTAATTATATAATATTACATTATTTGTGAGAATTTGGTTGTGTCCTGTAAACGAACGTTAGGTTATTTACCCCCAGAAAATATGTACACTTTTTTTAGATTTAACTCATTGGACGTACATATTAACATTTAAAAACACGATCTGATAATAACAGATCTGATAATTAATTAATTTCCTTCTGCGAATATGTGTAATTCTTAACAATACAAATCATTCTTAACAATATGAGTATATCAGCACGCGGCGAGAAAATCAGCCCCACTATTACGCAATACACGTGTCACGCATATCAGGCAACGACATATTGGAGGAATGGTTATATAAGTAATATGTGTATATGTATAACATTATTTTCGCTTCGTTGTATATCTGGTAATTGAAAAAAATATACAACCATTTGTGGCCTAGCGTTTGTTTCCAGGACATAGCGGGAAAATTAGTTCATTATGACGCTATAAGTATCACGCATATCAGACAACGAAGCATTGGAGCAATGGCTATGTGTAATTAGTGTATATGTATAATATTATTTCCATTTCGTTATATGTCTGGTAATTGAAAAAAATACAATTATTTTGTGGCCTAGCGTTTGTTTCCAGGACACAACAAAATTTTTATCAATAATACAATATTAAATATATAAATGAAGCACTCGGCTTGGACATTTATTCTAAATCTCTCTCAAATGAATTTCATTTTTTATGTAGATTATTCATCCATTTAATTTGAAAGTGACTTGCATTATTCCTATTATACAGATGTTCGATAATATATAAAAACGATAAAATCTCGCTGCACGAATATTAGCGTTAGATGGGAAGATAAGTGAGCGATGACAGTCTATTGTGACGCGATATGCGTCATGCATATCATGTTACAATAGACTGATCTCATCGCACTAGAATAAATGTCCGAGCTGAGAGTGCTCCATTCAACTATTTAATATTGTATTATTTATAAAAATTTTATTGTGTCCTGGAAACGAACGCTAGGTCACAAAATGATTGTATTTTTTTCAATTACCAAGCATACAACAAAGCAGATATAATATTATACATATACACATATTACTTACAG